CCCCAAAACCCCAAAACCCCAAAACCCCGTTGAGAAAAATAACATAGAATTAGAGACATTATAAATAAGATAAATTTGGAATCATGATAAAAAAGAGCACCTCTTCTTTGACCTCTTTACCTTCGATTCTCAGCTTATTATATGTGATGCTTATTACTTAAGTTAGAGGAATGAAAATAAATCTAAGAAGAGTAGAGGCAATTTCATAAGGAAGAAGTTTATTTCAGAGATTCAGCTTTCCATAGTATGATGTTGAAAATTTCAATAATATGCAATACTTTATTGAGCTTGAATTGGGATCATAAAGATAGAAGATGTCATTTCTCATCGATACAGGCTCTTCAGTAAGGCTTTTTAATTATTGATAAAATCTAGGTTGTCTGGGCTCCAGTTACTGAATGCGAAGATTGCAAAAATAATCTTTTTAAAAATTCTGAATCTTAGACATTTAAAAGGCTTAGCTGGATAAGAGATAAAGTCAATGTATGTAATTGAGCTAATCAATATCTTGTAGTATGGAATGGGTTCGGTTGAAGGTTTATATGCATAAGATAATTTCTACTTCCCAGGTTCAGAAAATAAATCTCAGACAATAAATGACTTTCATTTTTTAGCAGTAGAAGAAGCAAAAAAATTAGGAGTACTTTCTTGAATGACTAAATTTATTTAGAACTATCATTACGATGGTATAATTGGACTTTCACTGAGGAAAAACTATCCAGAAAACAGCGGTCAAAACTTCATTTAGTAACTTAAAGACTAGGTAATTAAAGAATTTATATATCTTAGAGGCTGATTAGCAGCACAGTTTTCAGTATTTCACTCTCAGATCTTAATAATAGGGAGGAATCCACAGGGTCCTTTATTTAGTTTGGGGGATATGATGAAAATCTGACTCAGAATTCTTCATATAAATTTGTTTGGCTTTATCTCAGAAGTGCGAAAACCATTTGGTGGGAAATTGAAATGTCTAAAGCAAAATATGGGGCTTATGATATTGATCTGACAGTTAAATTTGCCACACTTGACACTGGATCTTCTATTATATACGTAAATTAAATTTCCAAGAATAATAGTATAGATGCCCTAAGTTGATTTTAGACAAATCTATGCTAAAATTAATTAGAAAAATATCAACAAATGCCAAGAGTCTGGTGGACTAATTTACTGTTATAAATGCCCAGAAACAGACGGGTAGTATGAGCCAATTACAATTATCCTAAATGTTAATATACAGATTAAACTAACTCCTGAATTTTACATGCAATATGACAAGGGTTATGATAGATGTCTTCTAACATTAAAGGGTGTATAAGGAGAACTTAATCACTGGGTGCTCGGAGATTCATTTTTGAGAGCATTTTACTAAGTCTATGATCCAGATAACTATCGAGTTGGATTAATGATGAATCCATATAATTTAGGTTTAGAGCATGATGACTTGATTTCATATTACTAGGATGACTCAATAGATAAGTTGTATCTTTTTATTTCTATGGGTCTAATTAGCTTAATGATTTTACTTATTGGAGCAATCATATTTTTGAATAAAGATTATCTAGTTAGAAAGTTTAAAAAGAACAAGGTACTTGATAAAGTCAGTGTAAAGGCTCAACTACCTCCTAATATTAATCAGTAGAACTAGGTTTTCCCTTCAGAGTAAAATGTAGTCAAAATAGATTCATCATAAGAGAACAATAATCCTTTGAATGTTAGTTAAAGGTCTAGTAATTCTTACTCTTCAATTTCCCAAGATAGTTTGGTGAGTAGTAGTAACAGCTACTATTCCTCCAGTGGTAGTGGAAGTAGAAACACCTCTCTTTCTTCCATTACATCCTTGGATGAAAAACCATTAACAAATAGACATAGAAACAAGCAAGTAATGGTAGGCCAATTTGCTATGGCAACTTTTAAGTGAATATTTACAAAACCTCTTGCATGAAAGTAACTTATATAGTACCTTGCTATATTCTTAAACAAAATTGACAATAAGTACAATTATAATTGATTTTAAAGTATTTAATTTAATTTACTAAATTTGATTTCTATTAAATATTAAATTCACTTTGGAAATAGCTTAAGATGGGGTTTTGGGGTTTTGGGG